CCCCACTGCACTCCAGTCTGGGTGACAGAGTGAGACTCCAACTCAAAAAAAAAAAAAAAAAAAAGAAAAGAAAAGAACGGGCCAGATAGTAAATATTGGAGAATTTGGGAGCTATATGACCTCTGTCACAACTATTCAATTCTGTCTTGTAGCATGACAGCAACCATAGGTAATATATAGATAAAAGTTTGTGTTTCAATAAAATTTTATTTACAAAAACAGACACTGGCCTATAAATCATTGTTTTCTGACTCCCTAGGTTAAATGCTACATTAAAGGTATGGATTCACCGAGTGGTTAAAAAAGGAAGTCCCTGCTATATGCTGTCTGCAAGAGACACACATTAACTTATAAAGATATATATCTGAGGGGAAACCCCCCAAAATGGTATTCACAAAAAAAATTCTGTTTTGTTTTTGTTTTTTGTGTTGGAGTCTCATTTGTCACCCAGACTGGAGTGCAGTTGCACACTCACAGACACCACAGCCTTGACCTGCTGGACTCAGGCGATCTTCTGCCTTAGCCTTCTAAGTAGCTGGAACCACAAGTGCACGCCACCATGCCCGGCTAATTCTTTGATTTATTGTAGAGATGAGGTCTCGCCAAGTTGCCCAGGTTGATCTCGAACCCGGGGGGCTCAGGTAATCCTCTCACCTTGGTCTCCCAAAGTACTGGGGTTATAGGCAAAAGTCACCACACCCAGCCTAAAAAATATGTATTTATTCTTACATGTTTACACTTCAGTCACCTTCAAAGTACTCTCCATTTGACGCAATACACCTATCTAAATGCTTTTTCCACTGCTCAAAACAGTTTTTGAACTCATCAATTTTGGTGTCTTTCAGTGTTTCTGCCATTTTTTGTTTCACTTCTTCCACATTGGAAAAATATTCCCCTTTAAGAACATTTTTAATCTGGGGAAACAAAAAAAATGTCACTTATGGCAAGACTGAATAAACAGAAAGAGTGGGGCACGGGGGGTCATGACATTTTTGGCCAAAAACTGCTGAACTCTCAGTTTGGTGTGGGCAATTTGTTTGTGTAAATCACTCATCATGAAATAAACAAACACGTTAAAAGAATCTAAAAAAAACAAACAAAAGTTCACTGACACCAAATGCAGCTTCTCACAACAATGCTGGCTGGTACAATGATGCTGATGGGTTCCTAGAACTCTTACCTATCACGGAAAGCTTGTACTACAAAGGGCCTGCCCTCTGAAAAATAATTACATTTTGGGGGGGGTTCCCCCTTGTAAGTTGAAAGTAAATGGATGCAAAAAAGATATACATGCAAGGACTAAAAATAAGAAAGCTGGAGTGGTTATCTTTTGTGCCTATTTTTTTAATTTTATGAGGTTGTTACATGTGACATAAGTATTGCATGAAGATGAGGCTTGAGCTTCTAGTGAGCTTCTCTCCTCAGTAGTGGACATGACACCCAGTGGGTAGTTGTGTATTCCTCTTCCCTTTTTCCCTCCTTTAGTAGTGTCCAACGTCTGTTGTTCCCATGGAGTGGCTATCCTAATATCAGACTAAGATATAATTATCAATGTGTTGTCCCTAATACAGAGTTTTGAAATTCATCAAACAAAAATGACCAGAAATAAAGGGGAAGATAGACAATTCCACAATAATGTTAAGTAATGTAAAAATCCCTCCTCCAGCAAATAAAACCAAAAAATTTAGTAAGGACATAAATCTGAACAATACTATCAACCACCTTGATTCAACTGACACTCATAGAAACTGTAACAACTGAAAAATACAAATTATTTTCAAATACACATTGAACTTGAAAAGTCTCCAAGGTAGACCGTATGACAGACCATAAAATAAACTTCAATAAATTTAAGAGGCTTAACACCATACAGAATGTATTCTCTGACAACAAAATTCAATTAGAAATCCATAATAATAAGATTCAGAAAAAAACAACTAGGAAACTAAAACAAAAAATTCATAAGTCAAGATAAATTAAGGAAATTAAAATATTTTAAACTGGATGATAATTCAATACATGTCAAAATTTGTAGGGGGTAACTAAAAATCTGAGCTCAAGAAATACATAAATTATTATAAAAAGATAGGTCTACTACCTGGAAACAAATAAAAATGAAGAAACATCTTACCAAAACTTCTGGGATGCCATGAAGGCAGTACTAAGAGAGGAATTCATATCACTAAAAACACATGAAGAAAATGGAAAGATCACAAGTTAACAGCCTAACAAATCACCTAAGAAAGCTGGAAAAGCAAGACCATCAAAACCCTAACTTCAGCAGAAGAATCCAGATTACTAAAAGCCAAAATCTGGGACATAGAAGACAAAAAAGATAATATAAAAAATCAATGAAACAAAAAGTTTGTTCTTTGAAAGGATAAACAAGATTGATGGTCCCCTAGCTAGACTGACCAAGAAAGAGAAAAAGCCCCCCCAAAACACAATCAGAAATACAAAAGATGAAGTCACAACTGACCCTGAAAAAATATAAAAGATTATCAGAGACTACTATGTACATTTGTATGGAAACAAACTTGAAAACCTAAAGGAAATGGAGGACTTTCTGACATCCCACAACCTCCCCAGGTTGAAACAAGAAGAAATTGAGACCCTAAATAGACCAATAACAATACAGGAAATTGAATATGTCATAAGAAAACTACCTACCAAAAAAAAGTCCTGGACCAGATGGCTTTCCAGCAGAATTCTACAAAACATACAAGGAGGAACTGATACCAATCCTACTGAATGTATTCCAGGCAATTGAGAATGATGGAACTCTCCCCAAATCATTTTATGATGCTAACATCCCATTGATATCCAAGCCAGGTAAAGATCCAACAAAGAAAGAGAACTTACAGGCCATTATCCTTGATGAACATAGATACTAAAATTCTCAACAAGATTCTAGCAAACCTGATTCAACAACACATCTCAAAAATCATCTAGCTCGACCAAGTAGGTTTCATCCCCGGGATGCAGGTCTGGTTCAACATTTGTAAGACCATAAATGTAATTAAATACATCTACAGATGTAAAAACAAAAACCACATGATTATATCATTAGATGTGGAAAAAGCTTTTGATAAAATCCAGCACCCTTCTTGATTAAAAACCCCCGAACATCTGTGCATAGATGGAACATACCTCAAAATAGTAAGTGCCATCTATGAGAAACCCACAGCCAGCATACTCCTAAACAGACAGAAATTGGAACCATTTCCCCTGAAAACTGGAACAAGGCAAGAATGTCTATTCTTACCCCTCTTGTTCAACATAGTTTTGGAAGTACTAGCTAGAACAATCAGACAAGAGGGGGCGATCAGGGGTATCCAAATAGGAAAAAAGGAGGTCAAGTTATTCCTCTTTG